CATTGCTACTCCATAATTTCCATGGGACTCGATGTGCCAGACTCTGCCTATGATCACAGCCCTAATTCACAATGAATTAACCTAGGAGGACGACCACCGTCGGCAAGTTCAGTTGCAGCACAGAACCAGCACGTCTTTTTGAGGCTAGATCTAAATGGGGGAAATTACTATCAGCCATTTTGGTGAGAAAGGAGGGATTCAAAGATGCTAAAAGAGAAGATGTTGCGTATCGTACAAAGCAAACCTCAGATAAGAAACTGTGCCTTTTCTCACCCCTCGTTCATCTTCAGCAAGAGGATGGAAGAACAGGGGAAATAAGGTCATTTCTCTCTTTTAATATGGCCATTCCTCCCCCCTCCCCCAGTGGGAGGGAAATAAGCTTTGCTACCTCCAAGATAGGATGCGGTTCTTTCCCTGCTCCAAGGAGGGAGCTTCTGGCACACCCAAGGAACACCCATTTTGCTGTTCATGGAAGGAATTTGTGAATTGTGTCTCCAAGGGCAGATCTCTTCCTCTGCTCTTAAAGGAAAGATCCAAAATATCGGTGGCCTCCAGGAATGCAGTTTTGAGCTGACTCAGCTAAAGTGAACCAAATTAGACCAGCAACAGATGCTCCTGGTGAACTTTGCTGTATAGCAATACGGATCCAGTTTTCCTTGAATGCAAACAGAGTACTCTACCATTGGTCTTTAAGTGGTAGACGGCTTAAGGTTGGTACTGCAACCCTCACAGCAACACCAGGTGGATCTTCCTGAGGATACCAACATCACCTTCTTTTGCAAAGATTAATCAGGGGAAGTTTTTGAACAGGATGAGAGAGAAATGCCAACAGGAAGGCAGGCAGAAAAGGCTTATGGGTAAAAAACATAATCCCAAAAGACTGGTGGCACAATCTGTTCTCCTTCAAGGTGTCTCAAGATTCTTGGTTTGGTTTGCTTTCAATAGGCTTAATGCTAAAAACAGACTGTGTATTGTGGATTTCATCGTGAGTCCTTGGGAATATCATTCCCTGATCTGGTGCTCCAACCACTCTCCCCAGATCTGACAGACTGAAGATGACTACCCTAGAGAAGTCTTCTCTGACCAGATGCTGGATGAGGATAATAGGAGTTGTAGTAGAAAAAAACATTTTACCAAGTTTGGGGAACAGTACGTTAGAGCTTGAAAAAGCAAAACCCAATCTTCATACTTTGCAGAATACTGACTCTACATCCAATTACAGTAAATTAGGGTGAGAGCTTCTGGTCCTTCAAGTGCTTCACAACCAGTGAGGAAGAATGTTGGAAGCTTTAGTTCAACATCTGGAGGACCACAATACGCTCAACCTGATTGAGCATACTGCAGATTAACGGTGCCAAAGGGTTCAAAATACAATGATAAACACGAAGAGGAAAGTCGAGACCTTCCTTGCCTTGTACCAAGAGCAATGAACATAAAGTGAAAGATGGCCATTCCTTCACCAGCGTCGCCCAGATGTGTTGTAACCGCAGCTCCCAGGATTCCTTTGGCCATTCCGGCTGGGAAGGCTGGAAGCTGCACCCTTCCCACATCTGGAAGGTGCAGGTGGTGGAAAGCTGAGTTAGGGACATCAAGGGGTCTGGGTGGCCATAGGTGCCTCCCCTCCACCCCAAGACCACCCTTTCAGCTGGATTCCCTGCCGCTCAGCCAGTCAGCTCACCAGCGACATCCATCTTCCATCCCCTTGCACGTCAGTGACCGGGGTTGGGGTGCTGGCGGGGTTCTTGTCGCCATCACTCATGGTCCCTCGCAGATTCTAGGGAGACAAAGCAGAGAATAAGGGTGGAACTCCTCGCTCCGCTGCCTACCCACCCCACACCTCCACAGCAACCCCATCGCTCTGCATCCAGAGGGGAAAGCGAGGAATCGCCGGACCTGCGCTGGAACTCAGTCCAGGAACACCGATGCCAGTCCCCGCTCCTTCCCCACCCGCAGAGAGCGAGTGGTTTCGCCTATTCATCCCCCGCCGCCATACAAAGCTTCGGCGGTACCATTTCTAAAAGAAGGGGGAAAGTTAACCCTATTCTGGGCGACGTATGCGGGGGTGCTTTCCGCGCGGCGCAAGGAGGGCTAGAGAGGTAATGGCGAGGCTGTCAGAAATTCTGATTTCCACCACAGCAAAAGGCTAATTTATCTGCAGCGTTTCCATATTACAAGCCCGCACCCCTCCCTCCTCAGGCCATCATTTGCACCACCCCCAAGTTCCGATCATACCATCAACGCGTAGTGGATCAGTGCATCAATGCACAGAACGGGGGGGGGGAGACGCGGAGGATGATTACCCCCCCCCCCACACACACAGATAGTTCCTCACACTTCCCCGATGCTCCTGTCTCCTTTTTACGCCTTCTAACCGAGTAGCGATCCTTTCGTTTTCGGAGAGGAAATAGGAACGGGTTTAATCCGTTTCCTCCTCCCCGTGCACAATGGTTCATTCTCCCTGTGAGCTCTGCCTGTTGTAAATAGCCAGTACCATTCGAAAACGGGGGAAACTACTCACGGCGTTGGTCGGAAAAAAATCAACCGCTCCTCCGACCTTTAAGCTGCCGGAGAAACGGCTTTGATTGCACGGTTTCAGCTCCGCTTTGGAAGCGGTTTCCTGCAGCCACCTGGACGGAACCACCTGACCAGGCAGGCTGGGGGGAGGAGGCTCGCTTCGTCTCCGCACCCTCCCGGCGAAGCAAATGGTACCGGCTACTCTAGCCAGACTCCGGCCTCCCATTCATCTTTCCGCGGCGTTAAGCTCTGCCTCCGCCAAGGCGGCTGCTTGAGAGCATCCCCTGGGATCGGCGGGCTGGGATTAAGCTGCGTTTGCTCCGCAGTCCTGTCCCTTTCTAGCCATCTAGGCATTTACCTTGAACGCGTCGTTAGACTCAGCCGGATTGACAGGCGAGCCGACGTACGCCCAGCGGCTTTCCCCAGCCGGGTGTCTTCCGTTCGTCATTAAACTACACGTCCCAGGATCCTCGACTTCGGGGTTAACGGGAGTTGTAGTTCAATCCCATCTGGAGACCGCAGGACTCCTATCTCCGTGTGTAGAACTGATAATAAGGTAGACGAAGCCGCCTGTTGGAAACAATCGTTATAACGAGCCATTTGTTTTGCTGCTTGATAATGTGCACTGGGGGCTTTGGATACCTGCGTTTCTTTCAAATTATTTAATGAAGATTGTTTGGCCTTTTCTGTGGACAGATCTGCGGTTGTATTCAAACAGGAGCTGACCAACAGCAGGCGTTGCATTCTCTCCATCAGCCACGCAGGGGCCCC